TGGGGGGTTGGGGACGTGTCCACGTCTTTTTTTTTTGTTTTTTTGTAGTTTTCCCCCTGTTAAAAAAAAAGTGTTATGGAAGGGGAGCGGAAACGTATCAGACCAAAAGAAAAGAAGTCCAGTTGCCATGACTCAACCTCCAGATAATTCCACCTGGATGACTAAGAATCTTTATCAACATTATATGATCCAGTATATCCAGAGAAATAGGAGTACTTTAAAAGGAGTGAAATGTATTTGCATTTACTTTCTGTTGAACATTCATTCAGGTTTAGCTTTAAGTTAATCAGAGTTATATATACATAGATGTTTGGAATGAAGGAGCTGAAATTGTTGCTGTGAATATGAAATGGGGCAATCACAACAATTTACAAGCTTTGAAAATGGATGTTTACTTTCAGTACTGGCTATTGCCAAATAAGGAAACATGAGAACAACATACAGTAGCCAAGGATCGCTGAGCTTGGCAGGGCTCAGAAAGATGTTCTTTAAATTCAGGAGTCCTTCCTCAGTGAAAGAAAGCCCCCCTTGGTAATGTAACATGGTCTCTTCCTGCTTATACAAGTATATTGTGATTTACAATGGTATATCTGTATAACAGACATTTCATTTGTCTTTCTCCAGTGAAAACTGAACTAATCTCAGCTCATAGAACTTTTGTGTGGCATGTCAAAAGTGGACAAGGACCAGGGTCATTATAGGAGATAGTTACTGAATTAATGGGCTTATCTCTTGGCATAAGAGGAATACTGTCTTGGGGAGTTCAGATCACCATAGAACAGGGGACTCCAAAGAGAGCTGGGGTCATGCCTCAGGTAGACCAAATTATTTGCCCTTAACTATGAGCACTGGGAGAAAGTTGGGGTCTTAACAGGAGAGGAATTGTCTCAATTCCTTGGTTTTATTAATTGTTGTCTAGTATTATGAGATGCATCTAAGAGATGGGTAGATTGGGAAGTGGAGCATGCCAGGAAATCAATATTAGCTGGTAGGGAAGAAACAGTGGGCAGTCTGATCATTGTAGTATGGTCTCCCTTCCTTTCAGGTTGCAGTCTAATCAAGGAAGTCAAGATGAGAGCAAAGGTGAGCTTTCCAACTTAATAATCTTGCCTTTTAACACCAGGTCAGTTGCTGGTGCAACATCTTTTATACAAGATTTAATACTGAATGAATGCATTGACTCTGGCATGCAATACAGTGATAGGTTACTTTGTGATATGGCAGGTTAGGGCCAGAGAATGTGTGTTGTAGTGTGGGTTCCATCCAACAGTTTGCCAATCTGGAGTGTCTGCTGCTGCACTGGATGGCCAGGATAATGCAGGGTTACTGTTACTGAACCATCCACCCTCCTGCACAAAACTGAGCTGGACAGGTGATCTTGGATTTGACACTAAACTACCCTAGACTTCTTGTCTTAGATGACTTCAGTGTCCACAGTGAAGTTGCCTAGTAGTTCAGGGTATTATTCCGCCAAAACAACCATAAACTTGTCTTCACTGGTATCTGGCCCAATACATATAGCAAGGCACAAGCTGGATTTGGTATTCTGTTCAGCATGAGCTGGTTTCCTGAGAGTGGAGAAGTGCTCTGTATCTCTATTATTATATGACTCTCTACTGTACTCCATTTTAGACTGCCAGTTGCAGAAGCCAAGGACCAGTCAAAATGGTTCAACTCAGATACCTGATGGATCTGGATAGTTTCCTGAATGTTTTGGGGTGATTTGTCACTTGGTCTATCAATGATTCTTGGAATATAGAGATACTCCAGGTTGACATTATCACTCCTAAGCAGAGCTTCCTTCTAGCATAGCTGACAATGTACCTTAATACCCCCAATGCTAATAGCTTGGGTATTTAGTATACCAGATATGCCTTTCATTTGTGTAGCTCCTATGCTATCCCTAAGTAGATTTGTTTTGCCCTCATTCCTCCAATATTTAAGAAAATCAGTACCATTAAAACCAACAGTCTAAAGCTTGGCAAAAGGTTTCTCTTCACCACTTTTTAAACTATTGATTTTAATTTCATTAATTTTCATTTTTGGTTTTTATCGTATTGATTTTACTTTCATATTTCATATTTTCATTTATTACTATAAGTTGTCTTGAGTGTTTCTATAAGCAGAAAGACATGGTATAAATTTAAGAAATACATTTGCTGCTGGGGATTATTGCATGGCACAAGGCAAAAGTTTATGTTATAATGAATTCATGGGTATGACTGTTTCACCTCTTCGTTCACAGTCAAATGAATTCTGCATCATTCATTTTAATTCCTAGATGTACAATATTTTTCTGAGCTGGGAGCACACTTGCCTTTTGGAATAGTGGTCTAGAAACCCAATCTAAGACCTAGGTAATACGCATTTAATATTTTCCCTTTCTATGACCTGCAACATTTATAATTCAGTCACAACTTTGAAGGGTCTTTGGAGACCTTATCAAAGGTTTCAGAAACTGCCTGTGGCCCTGAGGCTTTGGGTTGAATACCCTTTTAAAAATGATATTGTACGAATTATCTGGACAAAAGAAAGAACAATGCAACACTTTCTAAGCAGCTGCCTTTAGTAAAAATACCTGATGTAACCTCTCCAAAGACAGATTATGAGACTTTCCATTATTTAGTTACTCATGCATTCTGTCATATATTTTGAAAGTTCTAATCATGAAAGATCTTCACCTGTGAGCAATTAATGAGTGTTTACCATGCCTATTTTTAAATATGGTTATAGCTGCTGCAAACACTATTTCAGACAGATGTTCATTTCCTGAAGAAATGAATGACTTCAGACTTTCTTTTAACATTTAAGACTAAAAGAAAAGCAAAATCCCTTAACAGAGTCAAAAGTATTAAATGGTTTGAAATCCTGTTTAACTGTAAGGAGAATCAGGTGAGGATCTGTGGCAGATTAGACATCCCTGAAGGAGTGGGGGCAGCACTGCAGTGGAGATCGGTGGCAAATTCTGGCCAGCGCTGTCTTTCTGGATAAAGAGAGACCATGAGATCACCCACTTGCACTCCAGACAGCTGCTCCTTGGGAGTTGACTGCAGGAACTGAGGTTTTTGCAGTTGACTCTTGAGTTGAATGGCTGGGAATTGAGGGATATCAATCAAGTTCACAATCATGATGCAATCTAAATGGACACAAGGTTTGCACAAGCCTCACTTTCTTAGACACTTTTGGATGTAAATAATTTACACCTAAAGAGAAATTTTCTGAGTGGCAGGATAAAAGAATTCCATTTGATGAGTCAACATTCTTTCTGGACATTTTTTCAGGGGGAAAAACGGTTTAACATTTCAAAAATGTTTTGGCAAAAAGCTTAACAAGGAGCGAATGTAAGAAAGTTTAAAATGGATAAAGGGGACAGTTTTTTGGAAAGATTATTTTTTTGGTGAAAATGCTTTTGAATAAATTGGAATTAAAATAGAAAAACGAAATGGACCTTCGTGGGAATATTTTCTGTTTACTATTAAAGAGTGCATACAATTGGTGTATTTTACAAAACAAAAGATAAAAGGAATATGTTCCAGATGGTGATGCTAACTGTAACTATGGAGTGCCATTTGAGATGAAAGTATTAAGGGCGCAGGAAGTCAAATCAGAAAAAAAAAGGAAGTTTTCCTTTTACTCTTCCTCTTGCAGTTGAGACACTTTTATTTTTGGATTACAATATTACAATGGCAATCACCAGAAAAGCAGCAAAGATAGCAGAGGGGAGAAGTGGATTGCTAGAACAACCTGCAGAGAGAGGAATTACACCCAATTTACTTCGTATTTTTACTTCATGTTCCAAATGGAGGTGTCGGATGAGACTACACAAAAACTTCAGCCTATGCAACAGGAAATTGAAAGGGATAATATGACTTTTCTACATTTTTGGCTCGATTATTGTAATGGAATGTGAGAATGACCTTGGAAGATGGGGGGAAGAGATGCTGCTTAGGAAATGATCAGATAAAAGGGGGAAGAGCCCGCAGCTGAGTAGCAAGCAGAGGAAGAAACTTAGAAAGGATCCGCCCTGATTGGGCAGTAAATAGGGGTGGCAAGGAATTTGTACTTTCAGACTTGCAAGATTGATGTCAGCCCTCCCAGGTAAACCAGACGGGAAACACGACCAGATGAGCTACTTCTGCTTTATTGTTAGGATCCATTAACAGAATGTTGTAAGTCTTGAAAGTACGCATCTCCCACTGTCCCTATTTTATAACATATTACTCTATGTTAAAGTCTTAAAGAGAATTTTTACAAAATAATGTACTGCTTGATATATGTCACCATAGGAATTGTCTAGAATGTATAAAGGCACTTCAAATACATGTTGGAAATGTAAACAACAAGAAGGGATATTTTATCATGCTTGGTGGATGTGTAAAAAAGCTAGAAAATTTTGGATTCATATACATTCAGAGGAATTTAAAGATGAATATTAATATACAATCAAGACCTTTCTTTTGGGACTGATGGACAAACAGCTGGAAAAAAGTCATGAAACCTTGTTTTGGTATATGATAACTGCAGTGAGATTATTGTATGCACAAAGATGGAAAGATTCTGCAATTCCCACAATGGAGGAATGCTTGGTGAAGATGATGGAACTGAGATGGCCAAATTGACTTCTTTGATTAGAGAGAAGACGATATCTACGTTTATTGTTGACTAGAATCCCCTTATGGACTCTGAGGGAAAAAAAATGAATTTATGATTTAGGTTTTGATGATTAGACAGGACAGATTATAGAAAGAAGAGAGTTATGTTGTAACCTTAGAGTAAGAGGTAAATTTATAATTGTACTTATAACTGCTGCAAAGAAGATCGGAAGCCACTTCTTTATATCTTTTTTCTTTCTTTTCTATTTTTCTTCTATCTTTTTCCCCCCTTTCTTTTTCTTTGCTTTTTGCACTTAAGCCCCATTTTGGCCAGAGGTTTGCAGAGGTTGACCAGTATCATATCAGGCCCCTGAGTCACCTGTAGTAAATTTGCAAGACTTTGGAGCATCAAGATCTCTAAAATGGCAAGAACTAAGCAAATAATAAAAGAAAGTTTTAGAAAAAACTCTGTGAGAGCTTATTTATGTTATTAAGCCTATGCAATGTATCCTGCTCCTTAATTTTAAGGATACGTGTCTCTCTTCAGCTATGACTGATGTCACACATCACAATAAGCTTTAGTTTGTTTAATCATGTCTTTCTGAATAGACCATGGCTGTCTGTTCATGAAGAACATGCTAAGCCATAAACCCACATAACAGCATATGATTTTGTCTCATGTACAATATCAACTCAGTCACTATTTGGCCTTTGGCAACAGTTGGTGGATTGCCATATTCTAGCAAAAAGCCAAGGAGATTGAACAAACCTGAAATCCATCCAACCTTGCTTAAACCAAATGAGGCAGTTCCAACAACTATAAGTTACTGAAGCATGAATGAGATTCCCCCTTTTTCTTCTTCCTCCAATCTCATGCACAAAGAGGAGGTTCTATAGATTTTAAATTGCAGTTTCTTACAACTGAATGAGGAACTGCAATTTAAGCAGTGCTTTCAAATCAGGTTATACAGTACCTGAAATAAAAATAGGTATTATGGAAAGAACAATGTTTTGAGGAATCTGATGGATGAGATATGCTTTATATGTTTTTAGCTCAATCCATTACATAATACAACAGGGAATTAAATCCAATACCGGGCCGGGAGGGGCAATATTTAACTATTTATAGAGGGTATCATGATTAAGGTGTTAGATGATTTAATTTTTACCATGGTTCATAGAGAAAGGTGTATTGCAGACACTATTTTGATAATTGATATTAAGCAACTAAGACATTAATTGTATAAATATTAAAATTCAGCTACTAAATATAACTAATATCTCTCTCTCTTTTTTTCTGCTCCACCCCCCCCCCCTTATATCCTAGAATTGTACTCACACTCTTGATGCCAGGTCCTTTCAGTGTTATATGCGTTTGACTCCAACCATGACCACTGTTCCTTCCCCAGATTGCTGGCCCATGAATACCAGCCTTTCTTAGAAAGACTTGAAAAGAACCAGAGTGTAACCCAGATACTTTATGCCTAAAGGATAAGCACAGATCCTCAGAGTGAGTTAAATGGCCAAGTGGGAGGACCAAGCGTGCGACTCGGCCTGCCTTCCCTTTGGGTTGAGAAATAGATAAATATTGTCCACCTGTTTAAAAAAAAAAAGGTGGGAGAAGAAAACAAATTATTTCAACACACCCTTGAAAAGGAGCATGATAATAAATAATTAAATTTGTGTCTGCAACATAAGGCTAATACTGACCTTCCAAGTGTAGCAATGCAAGTGATGTGAAGGCAGCACTGATTTGATTGATTTATTTTAAATATTTATACCTTTCCAGCACATAGTCTACCCTGAAGGCACCATAAATATATGTATAATTCCGTTAAAAATAATAGAAAAATTGACTTGAATCCGAAAAAGCATGAGTAGAATATATATGAATTTCTGAATTTTTCTATAATGTTGCAGAAGATGTCTTGTCCTATACAGAACGTATTGTCATCTACTTTGGTAAACAATAAGCACACCTTTTCTAAAAAGTTCCAAGCTGTAATAACAGAATGTTGGGTCTCAAAAAACAATCTGTGCCAATGAAAAAACTCATGCAAAGAAGGATATTTCTTTTCTCATCAATGCTCTTCAATTATGTTTGACACAGTTCTCTTCCATGCATGGCTTTCCACTGATGAAAGGACACTCTGAGGATCACATTACCCAAACAAAATTAGGGGCTGCAACTAAAGAAATGACACCAAAGTGTTAATAATCTGGACTTATTCCATGATCTACCATTGTTTACTATGGAATGTTCATACACCATTTATTGTAAGACGGAAGATAAGAGCTTTTCATGTGAAATTGTGGTCTTAAAATATTTACTGCCTGAAAAAAATTCATGCTTTAAAGGGAGTGAGAGTTTGGTTTCTCTTTCAGTTTCTCTTTTGGATGTGCACAGGATTATATCCATAGATTTCTGAAAACTTCAGACATGTCCATTTATGCAAAAAATCATTCCATTCCCAGTAAGCATAGGATCAGAGCCATAATTCCAGAAAGATGCCCAACATTTGGCATTTGTTAGTCATCCATGTACTTCTTCATGACAGGATAATTAATATGCTCTACAAAAGCCATCAACTGGAGCACTGGCATGAGTCAAAAGAGCATGTAAAAGGTCGTAATTTCTTTCGCTGATATATTCATGCTGAATTCAAAAGTCTGTTAAAGCTGCCATGCCACATAAATATGCTATCAATATAATAAATGTACATATATTTTGAACTTATTTTTAATCTTTCAAGTTAGAAAAGTTCTCTAAAGAATGCATAGTTTTCATACAAATGTGGCAATAGCAAAACACAGGCGTAACATCTTAACTAGCCTTCCATATACAGTATACATACTTCTAGTGTGGCTATATTATCTAGTTCTAATTCCTGATGTGATCCTTTTGCAAGCCCTATTCAACAGGCTTGAGATGTCTCAGTGCAACTAATTATATAAATCCACATTCAGAACCTCTAATTATTTTGAGTAAGTAGTTTTCCAAGGCTTGAACTACATTACGTACAATAAGCAATAATTTGGAATGGTGGATCCTGGTGCTAACTTTACTTTTCATAGCAATAGATCACTCAGCCATGATACCAAAGGACTGGGTTGGCTATTATAATACCAATATATAAGAAGGGCAAAAGAGGTGATCCAGCCCAATCAGTTTGTTAAGTCACATCAGCAAAATGTATGCCTACAGGAGAAATTAATTGATTGGCCTGAATCTGAAGACATTCTGATGAATCATGGGCCATACATTTTTAGTTTTAGATGTACTGCCCTCATCAAACATGATCAGTTACAAAGAACAGAAGTAAATGTTACTATATGAACAAAAATATGAATAAATATGCAAGGAAATTGCTTTGAGAGGTATTACTGTGTAGTTCACGCACTTCTGTTCAAATTCTTCCATCCAAGGAACAGCCCAAAGAGAATGACCCTTAAAAATTTATATAGACAGCAAAGCTTGAACAAAAGTTTAAATCCTAACAAAAACACTCCTTCAACTCCAAATAAATCAATTGTCAAACACTATATGCCAAGAGTTTTCTTATTTCTGATCGTCTGCTAATCAAATAGCTCCATATTAAATGGAAGGAAATGAAGCAAACCTGAGGAGTCTTTAACAGGTTCCCAGTATAAATCATGATTTCTTTCCTTGATCCATCCACACAGACCACCATCAAAGTTGCAACTATGAATCAGAACACCTGCAAAGAAGGGATGAAAAATCACAACAGAGAAGGCCTTCAAAGTTGAGACTGGTTGTCTTAGTCCTTTATAAACATGCTGGGGCTTTTATTCCAATACCTGCGGAAGGCACTCACTTGGTAGAGGCTAAGCTAAGTGGGCAGTTATGTATAGTCAATGTTCACACAAAGATTTTAAAGTATATATCAATCACATTTGCAAAAAGAAGCTTTTGTCAGTGTGTCAATTAATGGAGACTAATGAATTCTAAGCCATTTTTCTACTGTGCTCTTCTCTTCGCTTCTGTTTTTAGAAACCTAGGGGAATACCTGATTTAGTTAAAATTTGCTAGTAAGTATAGTTCTCCTTTTATACTGCAAGCACAGCTGCTTTGTACACATCAACATTAAAGCACACATATGCTCGGTGGCACATACTTATTGTTGGGAATGTAGTATATAACAAACAGTCATGCTTTCTGCTTAACAGATACTTTCTAGAATGCCAACAGGCTAAAACTAAACTTCTAACCAAACAAGCAATTGCAAAAAATACAAGAGCCAAAGTGACAAATAAAATGCTTACCTGGATCATCCTTTGCTTCATCCTCATTGGCACTTATTCCTTGTTCAATTTCAAATGATTCTAAGAGATTATTGCTCACTCCAGGCTGGCGGGGAACTGGAAGGGAAACCATCAAGCCATTAAAAAAGAAAGAATAGAACAGAGAAGGAAGTCAACCACAGGTTATTACACACATTATCTGCCTACTTATCGTCAAGCATCACTCAAGAATGAACCATTTGGGTGAGCTCATAAGAAATGTAAGAATTTCAGATAAGTAATAATTATAGAAAAAGCTTAGAGGCCACAACCAACTGCTGTAATTCAAGAACAAGGCTATAGAGCAGTGTTTTTCAATCTTGGCAACGTCAAGGTGTGTAGACTTCAACTCTGAGAATTCCTCAGCCAGAATTCTGGCTGGGGAATTCTGGGAGTTGAATTCCACACAGGTTAAAGTTGCCAAGGTTGAGAAACACTGCTATAGAGAGAGACAATGTTCAGACTCTCCTGCATTTCATTTTTCTACCTAGCAGCTTTTGAGCAGGCTAGCTTGTTTCCATCTGTTCTTTGTGTTTGCAATAGTTAGATTTGCTATTATATTGTTTTAAACAGACTACGTGAGAATTAACTCTCACACCTATCACACTTTTCTCTTTGGGGAATAAGCAATATTTTTGATTTTCTAATTTTTTTTTTTTTGGGTGGGACACAGCATTATTTATTTCTTAGATATATGTGCTGTCAGCAGGACCTGCTAGATAGTGTGCAGTAAAATATAATTGACACTAAAACAAGAACATAATAAAATCATCCTCTGATATTTAAAATGGTAGAAGAGAAATTTACATCATTAAAAAAACCTGAGTAAAATAGCAACAATTAGTCTGCTTCAAAAGCCTCATAGAAAAATATGGTTTTTAAGGGCCTTCTTCTTGGGGGAAATATTCTGGAACATCTGCTGCTCTCACTGGTGAAAAGAAAAACATGTTCCCTGGATGATGCCAAGGCCCAGATGATTTCTGGCAACTGTTCTTTCACTAAGGTAGTATTGGTTTTTAATTGTAACTGTTCAGGTGTATGCATCTTGCTTTACCAAGAACAATCTATATGAAGGACTATCATGTGATCGGCTTCTATTTGGTATCTCGGTATGAATTTTGCCCTTCAGTATCTCCCACTATGATGTGATGTGATGCCTAATATTTTTATTTTAAATTATTTTGTGAAGTGTGCACTTTTTTTTAAATGAAAAATTTTAAATTAATTTTTTTTTCATGAAAAATTTAAATTTTTAAATGAAAACATGAAATTTTGATTACAATTTGTGTTCACTTTTGCCCCATACAAAGTGGCCATCCTATAAACCACTCTGGAAAGCAAACTTTGCTCCAGCAAAGACTACCTGGTGAGCCACCACTGAAGAATCCTCTTGCCGGTGGGCCTTCTCCCTTCCAGGAAAATCCCTCCTCCTTAATGCTCCTTTCCAATTCCAGGAGAAGGTAGGGAGTGACTGTTTCTACTCTACTCTGTTTGCAGGAATGACCAAACCCCATCCCTGCAATATTCCTCAGTATCTCTCTTTAGTTTCTCCAGTACCAGTTAACAAATGGAATTTCTACATGGAAAAGGACAATGGGAGGCTTCTACAGTGACCTTTTCTTTTTTTTTCCAGTAATGTCCTGGAAAATCAAGGGTTTAAAAATTAAAATCCATAATGTATGAAAAGCACCAGATTGTTTACATTGTTACAAAGTGTGTGTGTACATGTCCAGGCCTGTGTAGTATATACCCCAATACATGGTCATCATGAAGTTTGTGACTTTGTTAGAAATCAAGATTTGTATATGACAGAAGGATGCTTGCTAAGGCCAAATTCCTTGTTAGTAATATTATAGAAGTGGCAAATATTATACATATAATATAATCATACATTATTCCCGTTTAAATCATTATGACATTCTCTTAAAAAAATCAGTTCTTTGTAACAATAATAGCATTAACACACATAAATTTAAAATTATCTTTCAATGTCCACAATGTTTCTCAAAGTTCCTCCTAACATGGAGCTAGGTCTACAAAAGGTTCTAAATTCTTCTGAAAGAATAATGCCTTAGGCTGTTTGCCACATGAAAGCTTGACAAATTGACGTAATCCAAAATATGAAAGGAATTTCATGTGCAGAATACACAGCTGGGCCTTTGATTTCATGTATATCAACTAAAGAATAACATGTGATTATTATAGCCTTAGACTACACATATCAATATCTCTAAATGCCAATCTATTTGTGCTGTGTAATTAATATTTCTCAGAGAAGCCAGCAAAAAGCATGAGTGCTGAGTCCTTGGCATTAAGGTTGTAATCCTTTCAGATTTACAGTCTGGACTCAATGATTTTTTTACTTCTGAGCAGACATGCCTAGGATTCTGTTATAAATAGTGTAAGGACAATAAGCCTATGCTGATATACTGTATATAATGAAATCTCTTCAGAAAAGCTTATCCCTTGGCTATGGAGATTCACTATTTTGTGCACTAAATACTGATGTAAAGAGTGCCTAGCTATATATATAAAAGTCTGCTGAGTGAATTATTAATTCAAGTGATTTATTGGTTAACATTCTCTGGGTTCATTAAAATAGTGTCTCCAATTAATTAAGCATCCTTTCATCTCTCAGCAACTTAATAGATTTGTAAGCATACCAACTCCCCCTCAAGCCCTGCTATGCCACATCATTGTGGTATTTGGGTTTCTGGAAGGAATGAGTGAAAAACACCAGGAGTGAATACCAAAAATATATGCTCATAGGGGCTCCACCCAAGGTGTAAAGGTCATCCCAACTGCCTAGCTAAAACAAGCAGGCACCTAGATTGGACAGCAGCAACAAAGGAAGATGATGGAGGTAGATGGTCATTTTAGAGACAACAGCAAACATATTATTTGAATTGGTATGTTGAAGATCACCGGGTAAATGATTCAGAAAGAACAAACCAAGATGGAAGCATATTGAAATTCTGTACAGTAGAGATGTCAACATCCAAGATACCTTCAAAGCTATTCCCTTTTCACAATAACATGTGCAAATGAAAGTGAAATTAGATCAGCACTCTGGTCATTACCAAGCTGATTAGGAAAGAGAAGAGGATGACCAGTAGCAAAGTGGATGGATGCAACTACAACATCCATGATCTGTGATTGGTGTATTCTTAGGAAACCTGAAGGTCCAGAATGAAAACAGATCATCTTGGAGAATGTCTATGCATATGGTCATTAAGAGTTAACACTGACTTGACGACACATCAATCAATTGATAATTATTCAATCAATAAATTAATAAGTCAAAGCATTTCCAGTTCTTCCAAGCTCTTCCTTGTTACCTCATTTTATCTGCCCAGCTAAGCAGAAAGTGAGGAATCCTACTGTTTGTCCATTATGAAGCAGGATCATCTGCTCACATAGAATTGGAAAGATAAAATGCTGTCAATTGTGAGGACTTTTGGAAGCTGGACTATAAAGTGAGTGAATTTCAGTACCTTTTGTTTTGAAGGAAAACATTTGCTTAGGTTCAGAAAAGTAATCAGAAACTTAAATTGTTCTTCTGAACCTGTTCCAACCCGATACGTTCTCAAAAGCCTCTCCAGATGCTCTCATGTGTATCATGAGTGGGTTGTGAGTTTGGATTTTTTTGTTTTTTGTTTTTAATGCAGTATGGTACATGAACCCATCCCCCCAAAAAAACATGGTTTACAAACCAGTGGATAGGTTTGTAGAGCATGGTAAACAAAAAAACCAAACCATATTATGAACTCAATCCTTGATTTTAAAACAGCATTTTTAACCATTGAAGATAAGAAGCTATATATTAAATTCTGGAAAATTGAATGAATGACTGTAAGATATACACAGGATGAAAGATTAGAGCAAGTAAATGAATTTGTGTACTTTGGTGGGAGGTTTATTAAAAATAGAGAAATGGGTGGAGAAATTTTAGGATGTGCCAATATTGATAGAAAGGAGTGGGTAATGTAGCAGCAAAAACTTATTTGGTTCATGATTCATCAAGGTGACTAATCAACAATAACCTGAAGAACTGAAAGTTGTTAAAAAAAAGCAAAAATGCTTGTGTATAAGAATGTGTTTCTGTCCACTTTGTTAAATGGAAAAAACATTTACTTGTTTTTTAGTATTTACATATTGTCTGAATCCAAATCTATTAGACTAAAAGGTATATACTAAAATTAGTATACACATGTGCAAGTGTAGTTAAAGAGAGGGAGGACAGGGGAAATACTTAATTCTGTTGTGTCAAAGGCTGACTTCAGCCCAGAAAATGGTTTATACAGAGTCTAGATTACAGCCCTACAGACTAGGATTAAAACTGAACCAAAGTAGTAACTTTCTATTTCCTCATGGAATTTAAGTTGTAAATATTCTAACAGGTTTTCCTGAACATTAGATATTTTGTGAATATGCCATATTACCAATCACGGTTCAGAATTCTTCTGTCACAAGTACAGAGTAAGAGCCCATTTGAATTGGATACTTGACAATATGGTCAATACACAACAGAAACAATGATATCCGTGCAATTTACATATTATTCACTTTCTCACTTACTGGATTCACTATCCTGAATGTTGGTAAAAATGTTTATAAAATAATTTTTTTAAAAAACCTTAATAATCCCAACAGAGAATTATGGTGTAATACCTGTATTTTTTCAAAAACATTGGATATTCTTAGATAATGCCTTCATCTTCCTCAAGCTTTACTGTTGTGTTTTCTGTCCTCTAATTTATGAGGACTCCACACCTACAGTATATATCAAAGGTAGGAAATTCAAATGAACTGCATCCTTGGGGAGGGAGACAAATGTCTTAAGAAAGTATTCTGATAGGAGTTGCTGACATACAGCCAAAATCATCCCAAAGTCATCTAGGAATGCACTTGTCCATCTGCTGCAAGGTAACAAAATTCACATCCTATTAGCTAAGCAATGTTTCTGTTCTGGGTACAAAACAAGACTTTTCCAAATACCCTCGCAAGCTCTATAATTAACCTCAGTTGTGATGCTAAAGATGAAACAGAGCACTGGGTATTTCTTGGCATGCATTCCAAAACATGCAAGCCATCACATATAATTTGTGGCATGAAGTTGGCTTGGCATAAAAGTACTGTAATATTTTTTACGACATCTCTGCAAATGCTACTTCCTTATGAAAGAGCACCTTTGGAACTATGAGGCCTAAAAGTCTCCCATTTGATGGGCACATTCCATAAAGTAGAAATCAAGAGTTATTTTTAACTTAATTTTCCATTTGGTTCCCAGCAACTAGGCACAAGATGGCTATGGGAATTCACATAAAACAACATAATGTCTCTCAAAAACTTGATCTGAAATTAAAATCAGGTCCAAAATATCAACACTTGAGACAGTTTTTTTATTTAATTCATTGCCAAACTTCCTGTATCACAGCATTCCATTCAATTTTCAAATGTCCATATATTGTGATTGACACAATGTTGATCTAGATTTTCCTAGACCAGGCCACAGGCCGCAAGTCCAGCATACCATTCCCACAATAACCAAGTACCCAATATCAGTGGGAAGTCAACATGATGAAAGTAACAGTACCCTCTAATTCATGTCCCTTAGCTAATAATATTCAGAGGGAGATTGCCTTTGATACTGGAAGTATACAGCTATCATGATTAGCTGCTATTGATTACCTTATTCTGATGGTATTATAATAGAAATGCCCTGAGACATTATTTAGAATTTTAGACCTGTCACCTTGTGGATCAAGATTAAAAACATGTTGTTTAACCCCACAGACCCATCACTGTTAGTGCTTGAGCTGAAAATTAGCTACACTTTTCTTCTGTGAAGAATTAAATTTATCTTTAAAAAAGAGTTGGGTTAATGCTTCTCCCCAAGTTTATTTTCATCCAAAATCTTCTGTGACATATTCTTATGCAGGCAGCAATGGAAAAGATCCTACTTCAAGTCTTAGGAGAACATAGGGATAAATCAAGGGGCATGGAGAATTACTGAATTGCTTCTAAAGATCTCTAAAGAATTGAAATCACCTTACCTCTGAACAATTAACCGTCACCAGGACAAAATCATTTCCTTTATCACTTACATAATGGCATCTGTGTTCCTCTGCACAGGATAAAACTTCATGAGCTTGTTGTTTCCATGTAAAGGACAAATGGAAGGTGATGTCTAAATATTTAAAGCTGTTTATTCTAATTGGGTGTCATCAATCTGCCATATTTGTTTGCAGTTGGATTGTGCTTTTGTAAATAGCACTACCATCTTTTTTGCATAATTAACTGTAAGGTTTTCCCACTTGCAGAAATTGGGCATTTCTTCCTCTTCTACTTTTCCCTTCCAATAGAAAAGCATTTAAGCTAGCAAGGTTCAAAGTCCTGCCTTTGAAGTTGGTGGAGGGGCAGCTTAATAAGATCTCCTATCCAAACCACCACTGTGCATGCTTAGATGCAGCCACTGAACCAACATCTCACATCCTGCACACTGTCCCTATGCCAGGACTAATGATCTGCATTGCTGTATCCATTCCTCATTTCATGCAGAGGGGGCACTGAGTCCAATATTGTACAGTTTCTCTAGCAGTCATCTCTGAAATCAGTAAGAAAGTTGCAAATTTTTTTTCATTGACTTCATCAAGAGCCAATGGGCATCAACTTGTTCCAGTTTGGAATGGCTCGTTGCAGTTTAGGCACTAAAATGGTACTTTTCTAATATCATCTATTTCTTTTATCACTATACAGTTTACCACTGTATCACACACCCCTCTCTATAATTTAGCTTCATCTGTTTTCATTTTATCCTGCTTCTATTGCATGCATTTTTTTCTCTCTTTTTAATTTGGTCTCTGACCATAAATTAATAATATTCACCTTTCTTCAAGATGTTCACCTAAGCTCCAGATGTTGCTTTGGCTGTAATTTCTCTGCAACTTCTAAAAAAATATTTCTCATTTTTCAATATTTAATACTAAATTCTGCAATGTGCTATAGCTTATTTTTTAACCTTGTTCCCTGCTGATTACTGGAGTTTATAGAGCTTTGTAAGCCTAACTTGGTCATATCTGACACCAGACTTTTAATGCACATTACTGATCAGGAATGTCTAATCCACAGATAGAATCAGACCTGAAAGACAGAGATCCAGCCAATATTTGTCTTGACTGAGACCTGCCTGAGGCCATTTTCCTTCATCCTCTCCTGCTCCCAGACTGATTAGGCTATGCCTACAGAAATTCCAGCTGGCTGGGTATAAATGTGGCTCCACCATCATCTGCACAGGATGAGGCAGGAAGTAATTGCTTTTCCTCTTCTCCTGCTTAGAGAAACAAATGAGGTAAGGAACTGGACTTTTGCTAGAAAGACAGAGTTTCTTTTCTGCATAGCTCCTTCCCTTTCCATCAGCTACCCCACCACAACTCAAGCCCATTTCCCAGATTAAATTCACTTCCTCACTCCTTATTCAGATGGTCACATGTGACAGTCATAGTATACTTAATTTATGACTTTAATCTGATAGCATAAGTTTTCTAGTCATTTGGTGGTAAAAAACACATCCTATCACAACTTCCATTTTTTGGAACACTGTGTAAGATTCTCAAGGGTTGCTAATTAACTACATTTCACATTAACACATAAGAAAATTTAGTCTTACTTACTAAATACATCTCCTCGGGGCTTCTGCGGCTCAATTGGGATCCTATTGTCAACTGTAAATCCCTGTGGTGGTGTGGTTTCACTAGGAAACGGCAGAGGCTCTTCAGTTATTACTTTTGGCGTTGTTGTTGTTAGCGGCTTAGGTGGAACTGGTGGTGGTTGGGGAGGACTTGTCACTGGAGGGGGTCTTGTCACTGGCCTGAAAGCTGGTCTTGTTGTGGCAGGTTTTGTTACCAATCTGGTATGTGGCTTGTGTGTTGGTTTCATAGTTGGTCTTGCTGTGGTCTTCAGATAAGGCTTTGCTGTAATTACAGATGGTATATATGGTAACTGGATGGGATGCCTTGTGCTACCAGATTCAGGTATTTTGTTGGTCATGCCATTGCTGCCTTTAGGAAAAGTTGAATTGCTTTTAAATACACTATATGGACCAGAAGGATCAATCATAACTTTGGGAATAGCTGGAAGGAAAGAACAGAGAAATGGGCAAAGTTACGAAATGATGCAGTGTTAGCTCTAACAAAAGCAACAAAAAAATCAGGTGGCTGGTGTGGGTCTTCCGGGCTGTGTGGCTGTGTTCTGGAAGTTTTGTTTCCAGTTCACACAATGAACTTGCTAATCAGCCCCAGCAGCCCCCCTTTAACAATTCAATAGAAGAAAAAACCCTGCCTAATCCCCAGGAAG